TCATCTGTCTATCACTGCTAAGGAGATGATCATCTCTTTCGGAAGAGGGACCACACATGTACAACATGGCAGTTATCGTCCTGACCAGTGATTTAGAATATTTAAGTCTAGGTTATAGCTAGGAATTAACAGTTCATTGAGATGAAGTATAGGCATGCTAAAAATCAAACAACAGGTTCAGGTCAAAGGAGTGAAGCAGATTATCATATTACTGTGTTCCAGAAATTAATCCCTGCATCCACATCGCTTAATACTGGTAATCCCTGGGTTGACATTTCCAAATACTATATACATCACAAACTAATGAAAATCATTTACATGATCCTTGACTTATAAGTCAAAAAAACTTTCAAAAGGAAGAAACATGATTTTTTATGAAACTATTTGGCAAAATAGATAAGTGCCTTCATCCATGGAATACAAGCAAATGAGTTCTAAAATAAGGCTTGTAAGAATAATGTTTATCCTCTTCAGACCAGTGGACCTGACTGAAGCCAAGGAACCAAGGTAAAAATCTTGTCCAACACCGTATGGAGTGCCATCTCTCGGGGCAATACAAAAGTATATCTTTCCATTGTTCAGGCTCTGCAATTAATTATCCCATAACAGTCTATCAAGAGTAATAACATTCTTCTAAGCCCATTAGTCTCAATTATTTTACTTCCCTTTCAGCAAAGCTTTTAACATTGCCTTTTCCTTTACTGCAACTTACAGAGTTACAGATTAGCTGCTGAAATTGGAAATAGAATTCAAAAGGAATTAAGAGTTTGTTTCCTGGGGTTTCTTTGGGTGGTCTTAGTGATCAACCCAAATGAATGATTTCTTGGCACTTTTCACCCACATCTAGACTCTCTCAACCATATATTTTTTTTTTCCTTTTTGTCTTTTTTCGTGACCGGTAATGGGATCGCAACCCTCGGTGTCGTGCCGCCGCGCTCCCAAGCGCCGCACTCTACTGAGTGCACCACCGGGCCGGCCCTCTCAACCATATTTTAAAACCTCTTGGATCTAATATGGTGAACTAATGATGTGACAGTAGCTGAGTGGAGAATATGTTTTAAACATAAATGTAACCCCAACGGGAATAGAAGAACAGATTTCTACCACAGCTAGCATAATAGAGTGTTTTCCAGTCAGCCCTCAACCCAAAGCCCAGAAAACCTAAAATGCCTCTACATCCACGTCTTCCACAGGCATTTGCTATATACCCTGTGTGGTGGCAGAAGAGCACATTCACATGGACAGGAGCCACGTCCTGGAGACCCCACATTTCATGCACTTGAATAATAGTAACAATAGTTAATATTTAATGAGGGTTTACGACAAAGCCAGTCACTAATTCCAGGAATTAACTCATTTAATTTTCATAATAAACACATGAAGTAAGTGCTATTATACTCCATTTTATAATATGGATAAACTTAGTTTTAGAAAAGTTTAATAACTTGTCTACTGTCACACAGATAGTAAGCAGCAAAGCTAAGATTTTAACCTAACAGTTGATCCAAGAGACCCTAAGTCTTCACCATTAATCAGGGGAATGAAAATACAATTAAAAGGGAAATTTATCAGTTTTGAGCTCTGGTTACTTTTTCAGGCACTTTAGCAATATTTCATTTAATCTTCACACAACACATTTTGTAAAAGGAAACTGAGACTCAGAGAGATTAAGTAACCACCAGACCCACAAAGCCAGCAAAGGACAAAGTTAATATTCTTTATACTACATCACACCATCTCCCTGCAGCTTCAAGACCCAACAGATACAGAAGCAGAATTCTATATTGCTGCTCTTATAAGAAAGTGACTGGTTGAACCTGTCTGTCAGGGACCCTGATAGGACAGACATAAGGAATCTATAGACAGCATAAAACCAGCATAACTAAAGAAGAAGAGAATCTAAATCACGACGACACTCCAGTGTTGGGGGATGGGTTTGGGGGCGGGAGTATGTGCACACTGTGTGAGAACTATTTGGGTCATTCTATTTTCAAATACTACATTTCTTTTCTTTATGAAATCTTGAGTTAAGCTCACAGTGGTTCTCAACTAAGAGTACTACCTTCCACCAAAGGGTATTTGGAAATGTGTGAGGGCAATTGGTTGTCCTCATGACTGAGAGATGCTATTGGCATTTAAAAGTCATGGGCGAGGGATGCTAAATGCCCTGCAATTTTGTGTCTGCACAACAAAGCATTATCCCACCAAAAATGCCAGTACTGCTTCTCCAACATCAACAAACACTTAAAGGAAACCATTTAGGTAGTGTTAAGGAAAAAAATACACAATCCAGGTGGACTCATTCAACATTTGTTGTCAAGATACTGGTCCACAAACAGAAGTAAGTAGAGATCATTTATGGACAGGTTTCTGAACAATGTACATTCCTGTTTTAGATGCTACTGCATCTTACATATGCATCTTACATATAAATAGATGTAAAGTCTTGTTATTAATAATATGGAAAAAATATCTGAGACCCAAATTTTGAATGAAGATACAAAATAACCGCAGTCTAAATATCTTCATAGTTTAGCCCAAAAGTAGACTTTCTATTTATAAGGTAGTTTCTACTATGAATAGTATAACAGTAACTAAATATTAATCAAATCTTAGTCTTACACTAACCTCATTTATTCATTCATTAATTCACAAAATACCTACTAAGTATCTAGCATAATAGGTACTGTTCTAGTAGCTGGGAACTCAATATTGAACAAAACAGGAACACTTCCTGCCCCTCATGGAATTTTCACTTTAGTGTATTTCCTTACCTACATAAACAAATACATACATAATATAATTTTAGTTAGTGACAGACACTATGAAGAAAAAAAAAAAAGACAGGAAATTGGATAGAGAGAAGAAATTGGATAGAGAGGAAATTGGAGAGATTTTTTTGTGAGGTGCTCAGGGAAGGAGGTGCACAGAGCCCTGAAAGATGTTGAGAAAACAACCAAGCAAAAGTCTGTGGGGAAAGTATTCACTGGCAGCGAGAACAGTAAGGGCAAAGTGAATAGAGAAAAACAAAATCAGTATGTTTAAGCAACAACAAAAAGGTAAGCGTGGTTGGAATGGAATGTGTATGGGTGAGTGGGAGAATGACATCAGAGAGGCAGGCAGAGGCCCAGACTGTGTAGGGATTTGTTCATTTTAATGAGAAACTTGGACTTCTGCCTAATGTGAAGAAATTGGAGAGTTCTGACCAAAGGAGTAAAGAATCCGATATTTTTAACAAATGACTAGTTAGGGTAGGAAGAAGAGAAAACTAAGAACTAGAATACCATCCAACTTGAAAATTAGGACTGTAATAAGGCATACAGAAGCATACATAGCACTGCCTTTATGAAATTACTTGATTGGCATGGGTGCTGGTTAGGAAAAGTTAACCAGTTTTATTCTAAAAGTGCTTGGGCACAAAACATCCCTGCACAAACTTCTCCCACTCTTTCTCAGATGGGCCAAGTCATTAATCCATTTTGAAATATAATAACTTAAAGAAAAAAGCATCTTACCATCCATAGGCTCTTTAAACTTAAAATCAAATCATTACCTTCAATGTTGACCCACCTAGAAACAAGTCTGTAACACTAAATTTAAAGTAGTTTGCTGACTTTAGCTAACTGAAAAAAACATATAAGGAAAAATAAAATCCTCAAAATGTTCACACTAGAATACAAGAGAATATTTTGGAAGCCTTAAAAAATAGTTCCTATTCCAAATATAATTGATTAGAAAGAAACAAAACTAAAAGTAGCTAAAGACAAATAAGGCAATCAGCAAGAATTATTAAAATAAAGAAGCAAATGCTGACATTATTGTGTAGTCATCCTCAGACTTCCAATTTGCCAGACATCATGGTTTGATTTGGCACCTCTTGATCTCATAAAATCTTGCTGGCAAATTAGTCTAATCAAATAATTATTATTAGCCAACGTTACTGAGCACCTGCTGGGTGCATTTTAGGAGCCAAGAATATAAATCCTTGTTGTCAGTCTAGAGAGACCAGGAATGTGTAAGAGAAAAGGATAACCAACAATAAAATAACTCATGATAATTAAAGGCATTGAACTGAATGTGCCTGCAGTATCTGACAGATTAAACCAGGAAGACTTCCAGACAGGGAAGGCGACTTCACCCCTAATCTGCATCATTAATAATTTACAATGTGAGAGTGCCAAATAAATTGTCAAGTCAGTAAATATGAAAGAGGTCAAAAGACCAGATGATAAGAAAAGTTCAGTAAGGTCTTCACAGATAGCAGACTTCAAGAGAGGCTTTCAGAAAGGCACTTACATATGCAAATAATTAATTCTTGTTTTTTGGTTTGAAAGTAATAAATTTACATCTTTTCATAAATATTTGGGGACATTTAGAGACGGGAGTCTCACAAAAACATGGCTGGGAAGGAATCACTGAAATGCACTCTTGCACAGCGAAATTCACAACTCTAGAACCCGAAATATAAGAGAACTGCTTATAGGGCTTAAAACATTCTTCCTGTTTTGCACTACAAATGGTCTTAACATTTTCCAAAATGCCTTATTAAACGTGCTTTTTCCCCCCCCCCCCCCCAACACACACACACACACACAGACTGGTTAAAAAAAATTAACAAATGTCATAGGCACAGCTGGAAGATGGTGGCAGGGATTTGCTGGCTTCAGAAATGGTGGAAGCCTCTGGCTTAAACGCATCCGAAGCAGATGACTCCACTCGGACTCTCCTTCCCCGCTCTTCTGTCTTCATTTCAGTCGAAGGAGGAGACATAGTTACTGTGCGTCTGGAAATCCTGAAGAGCGTAGAAAACACTCGCTGTCGTTTCTTTACCTTATTTTTAAGTGAGCCTGCGGACAAACACGAAACATTCATCAACAGTAAAATATTGGTTCGCGCGGGGAACACCCGCGAGCTCACTCCCCTGCTCTCCGCCGAGCTTGACTGTCACGCCCTCAGCCAGTCACGGGGGAGCGCGCCGGTGCATCACGGGAGTCGTCTGCAGCGGGGATTGTGGGAAATGTAGTTTGGTGACTCCGCCCTCTTCGCCATTACTGTAATGGCTGCTTCCTGGGAGGTAAGGTACGAGCTACGCTGCAAAGGATACTTAGATGGTCCCGGTATATTTGTAAAACGGGGGCAAATTTGCACGTTGGCAGGCCAAAGTAGGGGTTCTTTTTCAAATCTTAACGTCAAATTCTGGAATGAAATTGTCTCTCGGTTCGATTTATTTTTAGCTTTTCCTGCTTGGCTGTACTGACCAACTTTAAGTCTAGTTCCCTCTTGTTGGACAAACTGTTTCGTGTTCTCATTACGTATTCTTCTCGCTTCCATCCAACCTCTCCACTCTGCACTTACTCTAGCTGCCTCTTTAAAATAATAATAATTAATTTTTAAATCCTTCTCTTCCCCCCCCCCCATCCCCCCAACTATACTAATAGACGGTGTCACGTGGAACCTCTTAGCCTCAGCATCCGGACTTCCAGGAAGGGAATATTTCAAGTCAGATAGAATTTATATCTACTGTTTCTTTGGTAAGTCTTATTAATTTGCCATAACTTCAGAGTTGTGTTTTGTGACTTTTTCCTGATTTGTCTGTATTTCCTGGGTTGGAGAGACCCTAAGAAAATGTAATTTTTACTTGTTTGGATATTTTAAGTTTCTGAGCGAGTGTTTTGTGCATTTTTTCTGTTTGTTCTTAATTATATACTGCTGTTCAATTTCTGTTTGGTTGATGCATATAGTGTTGGCGTTACTGTGGAAAAATTGCTGGGGTTAGGGTGTTGTGAGACTAGAGATTAGCCTCAAGTGACTGTCTTTTTGTACCTTTTTCTTCCCTCAGTTTTTTCATCTGTAAAATGAGATGGATCTAAACTGAAAGTTTCTGATTTAGAGGATTGGGTGGACGGTTATTTGTCATGTATTCATATTGTCGTTTGAAAAGGTAGGAATTTTTAATGGCTCCTTTTTTGTTTCTGTTTAACTTCTAGGAACCTTCAACCATCAAGATCCCAGCATCATGACCTCAGTTTCAACACAGTTGCTCTTAGTCCTCATTTCACTGCTTTTGGTGTTGCCTGTTGTTGAAGCAGTAGAAGCTGGAGATGCTATCGCTCTCCTTTTAGGTGTGGTTCTCAGCATCACAGGCATTTGTGCTTGCTTGGGGGTGTATGCACGAAAGAGAAATGGACAAATGTGACTTTAAAGGGCCTCCTGAATCAAACCACACTCTGAAAACCTTTGTGCTGTTGAGGCTAATCCTGAACTTTGGTGTCTGGAACTTGCCAAGAAACAGTAAATAGGGTAGTTTCACATTCTTAGTTGTTTCCCGTAAAATGGGAACAAATCAATGTATGTTAAATGGGAAAAAATGTTTTCTTTATAACAAATAATGCGCTGAAAAATGCAGCCTATAATTTGTATTTGCTGGTTAGAAAGGGGGTCAAAGAATTAAGATGGTTGAATTCACATAAGTAACATTTCAGTTTCGGAGTTCTCAAAACACATGAAATAAGAAGGAAGCTCTTGCCCAGAATCCTACTTAATTGCCACTGTTCAGTTGGAATCACTGCCTGCCGAATCGTCGAGGAGTCTTTTCTCCATATTTTCATTAGATTTTTGTTTTGTTATCTCCCAAGTTAATATTGTACTTAGATATCAAATAGTGAGCCAATAATTGAAACTTTTATATCTGGAGGGAAAAAAAGTTTAGAAAACTGTAATTAAATGTGTCTAATATTGAAATGGAGAAAAGATTTAATGTTAAAAAAAAACTTTATATTGAAAGTGAGATATTTAATGTTTTAAAATCTTTATATTGATTAGCTGAGTAACATCTCTATGGTGAGAAATACCGTATTAAATATAAACACATTATGTTGTAAGTTAATGTGTGGTGTCCATTTCTGTTTATTGTGGGCTTTTTTTAATCTGTGTGTGGACTTTTATTTAAGCTAAATGCTTAACTGATCACACTAGCTTGAAGATACAATCAGTGAAAAATTAGAAGTGGGCAGCATCAAGGTAGAAAAGGCTCCAGGTAGAACATCCACAGATAGAGAAGGAAAATGTTATGGCCTATACTGATTTGCACACCAGCCAGATGATACCTACCCTCTTCTGACCTAGCTACTTCAGGTGTCCTCAAACTAGCAGTATCACCTGGGGGCTTGTTTGAAATGCAGACTCTCATACCCTACCCAGACCAACTGGATCGGAATTTGCATTTGTTTCAGTAGCCCAAGATAATTTGCACTTTACAGGTTTAAGAAGAAACCTATAAAGAATCATTATACAAAAGAAGAATCTTTATGAAAAATTCTTAACCCCAAGAATCATTCGAGGCACTTGATAAAACTTTTAATTTCCAGGTCCCTCTCCTGGTTGTGTAGTTGCAAGGTAGGGCCTGGAACCCTGTGTGTAACAAGGGTCTTCGTGATTCATTTGATTCTAAACATGCAGGCAGCATAAACTATAAAATAGTCTGAGTAAATCAAACTACATTAGGGTCATACCAGAAACAGGAAGTCAAGTTTTCTCCTAAAATACATTATCCAATCTCTAGCTCTCCAAGAGACATGGAGAGCCTCACTTTCTATCAGATAACAGGCAGCAACAACCTAAAAATCCTGTTTACAATGCATTTCTCCAGGTGTGAGCTGACCTGGCTTACACGAAAGATTGATAGAACTTAATAAGGAATGAGAGATGGCAACTTATATAATAAGACATGGAAACTGAATGCATTTGTTTTGGACATTGTTTTTTCACCAGATAAAGCACTAACATTCTTTATTCAGATAAATTGGCAGTTACATGTTGTCTAATTAGTAGAGCTTGATTGTGCATGCTTTTTGTTTTTGAAAGAACGAAAAAGGAATAATGTAGGTTGTAGAAAATTTGTCATTTCTTATAAACTAGCGCATTACTACTGGTGTAGAGAGGATGCTGCTGCTTCCTTGCAAGTCTGAACTTTTCCATTGGGATGGGAGAAATCAAACCTAAAATACATTTTAAATCACAATACAGTAGTCATTTCATCACCACCAGGTACTATTTTTTAATGTTCAAAATAATACTACAGGCAAACATTCTTTAGTGAGTGTATTTCCAGAAGTGCCTAGGAGGAATTAGAAAACTGCCATTTTTCTATTTTCCCCTTTAAAAGCAGAGAATTCTAAGGTAGCATGCAGGAATTTTGATGGATATCATGGGGAACACCTCCTCTAAAAATAGACTCATTTCTCATCTATCTAGGTTGGATTATATAGTTTTACCTGAAAAGAACAGAAACCCCTATTTTTTAGGCCACTAGTTCCTTTGAGAATCTGATGAAAGCTATTGTCCTTTTCCCTAGAAAAATGCCCAGACATGCTGGCATTTTTATATTAATTGCAGGGAATTCTCAGAGCTGCAGCCTGTTTAAAACTCCCAAATTACAAATTTCTGTGCTTGTATTTTTTTAAGGTTCTTTCTGATTCAGAATTCCTTGATTTGCTTTGAGGAATAATATCAGCTGTGGAGCATTTAAAATAAGAGCGAGATTGACAAATGTCCCCCACCAGAGTTCACAGTTTATACATGGCTGGTAAATGCTCTGTGCATGTTAGCTCAATTGAGTTCGGTTAAAAAGGCACAAAACTAATAGTTGAAATCAACAAGTGAAGAATTTTAAGATGCTTGCCAATAGTTACATTTCTGTCTTCTGCAATTTTATGGTAACCAGCCTGTTCACCAGAACCATTTCTGCATCATTTTTCTGATTGCTCTCATGATATTTTTTTGTCAGTTTTGAGAAGTTTGTAATGTATGGCATGGGTTTATCCTGTTTGGGGTTCACTTATAGGTTTATGTCTTTTCCCAAATTTAGGAAATTTTCAGACATTATTTTTTCAAATACTTTTTCAGGCTCACCCTCTTTTTCCTTTCCTTCTAGGATATCAGCCTTTGCTGATGGCAGGGGCAGGGCCATAGTACTTCCCATGGTGTTTGAAGTAGAACAGTTATTGTCTGAAAGTTTTCTGCTTTGCTAAACTGTTCCTTTCTTGGTCCTTTAACTAGAGAGAATGATCTTTTCTTGGTTTCTTTTTGTTTGTTTGTTTATCTGAGCCCATTGGCATTTCCGGGCTGCCAGCTTCTCCAGCACTCAGTCTGAGACATAAGAGGAAAAAGTATCCAAGGACTTCATCACCATATTGTTCCTTTGGTCCTAAAGGTGTGCCTTCTTTCCACCTTTTAGAATCTTATGTTTGGTTTATATGTAATGTCCAGGTTTTAGCTGTATTTACTGGGAGGAAAAAGAATATCCGCTGCATCTTCCTGGAAGTGGAAATCTCAGTGCGTTTTTAAAGAGTGAATTTTCTGAGGTACTCCCCACATGGAGAGATGAAACACCAAGAAAATGATCACAGGCATCCTGTGATCTCCCACATCCCCCTACCTTCTTCACCCATTTAACATTATTGTTTATTCGTACCTTTACTCAATAAGCTCAACTAGGGAGTATGACCAACAATCAGGAATGCAGGAGTGTAGATGAAGTTTGAAAAAATAGGCTGTATCTATTTTGTCTCAGCACTGAGAGTGCAAATGGCAGCTTGAAAACCTGATGCGATACCAAATGTGCCAACTATAAACAAACTAGCTAGGCTCAGGAAATCTCAGAAGCTTCACATCACGTGCACCTTTGTTCCCTTGGGCTTTCTAGGCTCTGCAGAAGCTTATCAAACACTATTTCCCACCTTGGATATAAAGAAGGTAATGTAGCTGAGATAGCTCATAGCACATAATGAAGGGAGGAGAATTCTATGCATATGACCTATCTCCCAACCAGAGACTCACATTGATCAGTCTTCCTGGTGGTACTGTAATAGGCGTTAAGAACCCAAGCTCTGGAGTCCAACAGTCCTCCACCACTTAAAATGTGATCTGGGGCAAGTCACTTAATTTCTTTTAAATTTCTGTCTCCCTGTCTGTTAAATGGAGATAATAATAGTATCTGCCTGATGTTTGAAAGGGTAGGCATACTGTATATTACTGGTGTTTGAAGATATTTCTTAGGCAATAAAAGCTTTACTAGCATCAATTTTGTATTTATATATAAGAGGGCATCTTTAGAAAGTTATGTAAATCAATCCCATATCAAACTATTCTGTATATTTTAATTTTGACATTTTCCTAACTTCTATGAGACCCTTAAAGACAATACTCAGTCTTTGTTTTCCTTGGTACAGTCTCCCCCAACCCTCACCTCCTACCCCCCCGACACACACAATAACAGGCTTTGAAATCGATGAAAGTCAGAGACATCTGTGAAGAAAAGAAAATTTGGCTATCCTAAAATTTCCCAAGTTTTCTTGTTTGTATTTCATACTCTAGAGGAAAAAAAATAAGGTAAAAAAAAATTGATCCTCTTTTAATAATTCTTAATGTGTTCAACCATGGGTCTTTCCTAAGTAGCATAACAAAAGCTTAGTAGTAAGTCTCAGATCATTTAAGGAGATGCAGTGAATTTGTTTTTGCCCGTTCAGGAAAATAGCAGATCTGGTTTCCATAATAACCAGGAAAAATATTCACCTCATTAGAAGTTTTAAAATATAAGTGACATAAAACTTGTTTAAGGTTGGTTTTTTATAGTGGAGACTAGAGAAAAGCCCCTTTCTTGATTTACTAATCCCGGACATGATTTTCACTCTTAGGTGAAAACAGGACCAAATCAATAAATGTTTGCAGAATAAAAGAATAGCATATTTAAATTTTTTTTCTAATTATTAGCAATTTCATTTTTCTAAATATTTTCTGATTAGATAATATACATCTAACATCTACATGCAAAAGACAGGACCAGAAAAATATGTGATTGCTGCAAAAAATTAAAATGTGGCTTAATTTCTCATTGGTTCGTAGTTTCAGAGCTGCAGTACTCCTCTCACATATTACCACTGAATCTGTTCTATACAGACGATTAAAAATTTTGAAAATATTAGTTGGCACTTCATAATCTGAAATGAAATTATAAAATTTTATATACAAGAGGGTTAATTATTTTTAAAGGGCTAATCATGTAGTACTTTGTTAAACATAGGGATTATAAATACCGTATTTCTCAATATTAATCAAGATAATTATGCTCTGTATAAATGTGCATAAATCGCTTAAAAGAATGTAGAAAGATGCATGATCACTAAGAACAGAAACTATACCATAGTCTATTTCAAGTGATTTGTCAGAACAACCCTTTCATTTTGCCACAAAAATTACTAGGGCATTATGATTCAAACCTAAAACAATTTTATGGGTCCTGTGATGACATGTGTACTAACCGAACACTTGTTTAATCAACGGTTTTCAAGCATCACCAGTACCTGCAGGTCAGGCAAATGACCTTGAGCCAGTATTTAACCTCCACAGTTTTTTTATCTGTAAAATTGTCAGTAATCTCTAAGAGGTTTCCTAGTGATAGAATTTTGTGGCTTCATATGAAGAGTTTTCCTAATTTCAAAAATAATAAGGTCTAATGTGTTAAAAATGCTATAATTATCCATTTTCAGCCGGCAGCAATGAAGAGCTGATTTCCTTCAAACTCCAGTGAAAACTGTAGTCTAGTCATTTGGTACAATTTTGGATTTCAATTCAGTGAAGCGGGGGCAGCTCATTTTCTGTACTGAACGAGTATGATTAGGGATTGTCTCAACAAGGGAGAATAAAAACAAACGTAACCCTGCCACTCCCACTCACAGCAAACAGCCCACACGCTAATTGGTGTCGGCCTGGCTGTATCCAGGAACAAGGAACCTCGCAGTTTCATAGGCTCAGTCTTTTCTGGCACTCCGTCTTCCCAGTGGCCAAGACAGACACTTGAGAGGATGTGTGGCACACATGACACTCCAC